GAAACATAGATTATGAATTAAAAATTGTAAAGTGTAATTGATTATGATATAATATTTATAATAATTTTGATATAAAACTGTTTCTTGTATTATCATAAATTAAATATATTTGTTATCATAGAACATACAAATTCTGTGACGACATTATCACAAGTGCTTATTTTGTGCCCATTCGTTTCTCAGTATACCATGTACAAATTCTTTTTTTTTTGTAATGTGCTAGAATAATGTGATGCATTATGATGGAACATAAAATGTGTTTGGTGTTTGCACTTTAAGTTAAGAAACATCTTTAGCTAGATTTTCACCAGTCATCGTTTCTGAATGCTGTACACTGTATATATCGGCGAGCACAAACATATTAAGTCATCTCCACAAGAGTGTATAGACAGACATTGCTTTCGTTATTTAAAAAAAAGCCTTCTTTCTCAAAAAGTACCAATCAATTTGGCGCTTCACAAAGTAGAAAATTGGGCTCGATTTGAATGGAGCTGGGAATGGCAATTACCGATTATAGGCTGTAACTTGAATAAGTCAATGGGCAATTTGTCATTGATTTTCCATCGATTTCTCTAAAAAGCTGACAGTTTAATGATCGAAACTGTCATCTTTCGAAGTAATCTTCGATCGGAGGTTGAATTTTCCAAGGGCAGACGAATGTGTGATTTCCTATTTATCATTTATCTTTTGTTCCTTTTTTATTTCCTCTCTTTTCTTCAATGTTGTCCCTGTTAACATCCAACCTTTATATGAACTTCTTTTCTTCTTCTTATTCTTCTCTTCCTCTCTCTCTGTCTCTCTCTCTTCTCTCTCTCTTTCTCTCTCTCTCTCTCTCTCTCTCCTTCTCTCTCTCAGTCTCTCTCTCTGTCCCATCTGCTCTTTACTTGTTCTTGATGTGGAATTTATAGCAAGTCTAAAATACTTGAATCTACGCTTTTGAATATATTTTAATTTAAGGCTACAAACGGCTCTCCATAATGTTTAAATCCAACTTAAGGTCAACTTAGGCCCTCCAAGGCGATTAATTCTTCTGTGTAAACAGTTGCGTATCTGAGGGGATTCCAAAAGGCGGGGGGGGGGGGGAGGGGGGTAGAAAGAAAAGGAGAAGGGAAAGTCAACGTGAAAAAAGGTGATACAACCCCCTCCCACACCTCGGGTGCTTTTTCACCTTGTTCCCTCGCATTCCACCCACCGGTACACCCCCTACCCCCTCCCCCAGTGACTACACCCATGC